TTATCCATAAAGCTCATCATAGTTTTGAATATTTGTTTATTTATAATTTAAAAACAGAGAATTAAGGAAAACCTCATTTCTCCCTTACAGGAAGAAGCAGGGACAATGAAGATCATCAATAAAATATTAAGTTCAAGAAGAAAAATTAATGGCTGGATGCAGTGGCTCATACCTGTAATCCTAACACTTTGAGAGGCCGAGGCAGACAGGTCACAAGGTTAGGAGTTTGAGACCAGTCTTGCCAATACGGTGAAATCCCGTATCTACTAAAAATACAAAAATTAGCTGGGCATTGTGGTGCGTACCTACAGTCCCAGGTACTCGGGAGGAGGAAGAAGCAAAAGACTCGCTTGAACCCAGATGCAGAGGTTGCAGTGAGCAGAGATGGCGCCACTACACTCCATCCTGGGTGACAGAGCAAGACTCCATCTCAAAAAATAAAAATAAAAATGAAGAAAAATTAATAACCAAGAGTTCATTATAGCATGTAGATAGGTAGGAAATTCAATAGAGATCATATGCATTTTAACATAATTCTAACTTTTAATTTTTATTAAGTATCTAATAATTCATACTTCCCATTATTACCAAATTAGGGACTAAGAGTGGTGACACACATAACAGAATTAGAATTACCTAACAGTAAACAATGTTATTATTTTTTTTTAAAGGCAAAATTACTGCTATTTCTGAATCTGCCCTGGATTGTGTTTACCTCATCCTCAATTCTACTCTGCCTACCACAACAGACATTTATTCCACAGTAAACAACCTCATTTTTAATGTGCTTAATTACACTGTTTGGAATATATCATGAAATCATATGAAACTAACTAGACAATAAATAGTATAAATACTTAAGTGAAAAAAATTCATGAATCTATCCATTCAAAATTTCATGATCAGCAAAACTGGGAAGTATAAAGCCCAACATTTCAGTTAAAAAAATCTGAACAGATTTGTGTTTTGAAAACATCCCTATGGCTCAATATAGAAAATAGATGAAACTGAAAGTAAGAATGGCAGGAGAAGAGATCAGTTTCTAAAGGATGGGGTGCTAAACAAAAGCAGTGGTAATCAGGGACAAAAGGAAGGGATAAGAACCAAGAGATTTAAAAGACAGTAAAATTGGTGAGTACAAATGAGTGAGGAGAATTAACATTTGTTGAATAACTATATACTTAGCTTTTGAGATAGAAACTTTCTATTTCCTTTGATCCTCAACATCTTTACGAGACAAATATTGCCCTTATTTTTACAAAAGGAGAGACTGAGTTACAAGTAAACAACTTGAATTTATGTAGCTACAACTTAGTTGTAACATACAAAGGTTTCTATAGCTCTAACATAGCAGAGCCCTGATCCAAATCCAGGTTTGTCAAAACCCAGTTAAACCTTTAATGCCCAGGTTCCTACTGGCAAGTTTGACAGTTTAATTATTCATAGACAGTGAAATTGGCTATTCATCTGTCCTTTATCTTGTCTATCCTTCATTAAACTTAAAAAAAGATTCTATTATTGGCTGGGTATGGTTGCTCATGCCTGTAATCCCAGTGCTTTGGGAGGTGGGCTCAGGAGTTCAAGACCAGCCTGGACAGCATGGTGAAACCCCATCTCGACTAAAAAAACAAAAAAATTAGCTGGGCGTGGTGGCACACGCCTGCAATCCCAGCTTCTAAGGAGGCTGAGGTGGGAGAATCATGTGAACCCAGGAGGTGGAGGTTGCAGTGAGATGAGATCCTATCACTGCCCTCCAGCCTGGGTGACAAGGGCAAAACGCCATCTCAAAGAAAAAAAAAAGATTCTATTACCATGTGTCCCTCTAATGTTACTATTAAAGGCAATCAAAACTAAAACTTTGGGTGTGCTTTATAAAATTTCATTTTGTGTTTCACCTTCACACTTAATATTAAATGCCATTATAAACTGATGGAGCAGGTTTGGCAAGGAAGGAGGATAAAATATTTATTTTATTTGAAAACACTGAGTTTGGGCTGCGCATAGTGGCTCATGCCTGTAATCCCAGCACTTTGGGAGGCCAAGACAGTGGAGAAGGTGGGGGGAATCAACTGATGTCAGGAGTTTGAGACTAGCCTGACCAATATGGTGAAACCCTGTCTCTACTAAAAATACAAAATTAGCCAACTATGGTGGCACAGGCCTGTAATCCCAGCTACTTGGGAGGCTGAAGCAGGAGAATTGCTTAAATTGAGGAGGCGGAGATTTCAGTGAGCTGAGATTGCACTATTGCACTCAACCTGGGCAACAGGAGGGAAACTCTCAAAAAAAAAAAAAGGAAAGAAAACACTGAGTTTGAAGTGCTCCTAAGGTATCCAGATGACGAAGCAAGTCAGTGGTAAAGAATACTCTGCAATCAAGAAGGATTTGGGAGTGAAGCTAAGAAAGCTACCAGTAGTTTGAATTTAGTGACCAAGAAAAGCATCCTCAGTGAGAAAAGATGTAACTTATTTAACTAGTGAATCAAAAATGTGTAAGTGACTACACTTGATCCTCAGTCAGCTGGTCTATGGTTGTGTATACAGAACTGTGGCATTTAATTATGTCTTAAATATAATGCAAGCTACCATGGTAAAATTTTGAGTTACTAATTCCTAAAAGTAAGCCAAGTACTGCTCGGATTATTTTTCCTAAATTTGGTCTAAAAATGACAGCCCAGATTTAGGTAGGTCTCATACACAATTCTACAGATTCAGTAAAATACACTCAGAAAAATAAACCTTCGGGGAATAAAACTTGTTTTTCCACTGTAATACCTTTAACATGATATTTGTACTTTTTTCAATACTAAGTACTTTATACGCACTGAAGACAGACACCAATACGTAACTACATAACTTTCTCTTCCTCTGTCTCCACATATTTAAGAATCCTGTCAGTCAGGTACAGTCAATCAATCCCTCCAAATTGGTTCCAAAACGAGAGACCCTCTCTCTCACTCAGATACGAAAATCCAGATGCTCATGTCCCTTATATGAAACGGTGTCATATGTGTGTATAACCTCCCCACATCCTCCCCACATCAAATTATATCTAGATTACTTATAATAACCTAATACAACGTAAATGCTATGTGAATAGTTGTTATATTGTATAGTTTAGGGAATAATGATGAGAACAAAAAAGTCTGTGCAACCATTCACTTTTTTTCCTCGGAAATAGTTTCAATCCCTTGATTGAGTCCACAGATACAGAGGATGCACTGATAACTGTTATTCCTTCCAACTTACAGAAGAACTGAAACTAAAGAGGTGGTACCAACCTGCTCAGAGTCACACAACTCTGGTTCTTTGCGACATAAATACGTTTTTAAGCAATATACTAGTGGTCTCCAACCGTTTTGTACTTGCACCCATTAAGGAAAATTTGAAATACATATTCCAACATAAAATACTCTTGGGCTTCATGTAGAAATCAAATGAAATAAAGTAAACCTGAATAAAAGTTCTAATACGCTCCCTCCCCACCCACACACACATGGAAATGCATGCCACTGCATATACTATTGTACACTTTAAAAGATCACACAGCAACCACCTAAAAGTCAGGGAATTTGGGTTTTTCTCCACATATTTAAGAATCCTGTCAGCTAGGTACAGTCAATCCCTCAGAATTGGTTCCAAAATGAATTTGGGTTTTTCTTTTTTCCTTTGAATATATATTACTGAGAAGTTTGCCTTTAAAACACTGCCTTTTAATCTCCTAGTCATGAAATATGCAGAGTAATAAGCGCTCACAAAACTTCTGTCTTGAGGCTTAAATACCAGATGATTGCTCTGAGATTTTTCACAGTATTATCTCAAACCCTATTGGTCCCACAACCCTCTCTCTACCCTAGAGTCCTGTTTTCCGAAATTCCCAATTGGGATTCTTCTTCAGTTCATTTCCATAAGATTAGGGAAAAGAAATGCCATCAATAAACCTTTAAACACATGTTAATTTTTCTAGATAATACAATTTGCCTTTTCGTAAAACTGGGCTTTCATGACAAACTGAATTTTAGTGATCTTTGTATACACCCTTTAAATACACCAGTTGCCGCCGTCGAGGTATCATCAGATTCGTGCTAAAAGCCACTCCCGACCCCAGCTTTCCCCCAGACCTCTTCCCCAACTCCAGCTATTCGCCATAGCCCCGGGGAGTCTGGGGACGACCGTTTGGAAGAGAGTGGCCCCGCGCCGACGCCAAGTTTCCCGTGGCTCAGGAGACCGGTGCCGCCTCCGAGAGCGCGCGAAGATCCCACCCGGTGCCCTACCCGCCCGAGGGACGAACACCTCCCACCCGGGCACGCCAGGACCACCGTGGACACCACCGTAGCTCAGCTGACCCTGCCTCTCCCAGGTGGCTAGAGGTCGCCAGCCAAGCGGGCAGCCGGTGGAGGACGAACCCCGGAGCAAGGGAAAGCGACAGCGCGCGCCTTCATCGTACCGCCAACAAGTCGAAGTCTCCCAAAGGAACCTAATCGACGGGACTGTCGTGGTACGACCGGACGCTAAGGCCACCCTGCTGGCGTATCGACCTCGGCTAACAGTCGCTGACCCGCCGGGAAGCGCGCGCCTGCCGCAGGGGAAGGCAGGAGCCCCAGCGCTCCGGCGCCCAACGCGGGACTGACCGCGCCTGCGCCCACCCCTCCCTCCCGTCGGACTCTGCCCGCGCCTGCGCAGTTCCGAGGTTTCGCGTCGCTGGAGCCTGAGGCCGGAAGTGTCCCTTGGTGGGTGGGGGGTGGGGAAGCTGGTAGGCACGCGCAGCTCAGCAACGGCCGGACAAGGAGGAGGCGGGTGATTTGCATTAGAGAAAGGGCAGATAACTGCGCGCCCCAGGCAACAGGTCCACGCATGCGTCCTCTGGGTCGGCTGGTAGCCGGGAAGGGAAAGCCGAGCGGGCCCTAGTGTGGGGAGAGGGGACGGTCACTTCCCGGAAGAGGCGGTGCCGCGCCGGTGGGCGCCGGATTCGAAACGCTTCATCGTGCTCCCGGGCCTGGCCGCTGAGTCTTGGTCACTTTTGCTTGGGTAAAGAAAGAGGACTTTTCTTTTCGAGAAAATTCAGAAATTTGTTAGGATTCAGGCTAAATTGGTAAATGACGAAGGGGCTTCTTCCAGAGCTGAGGAAGAAGGGTTGTCCGGGTAAGTCCCGCGGGACTTGGAGAGAAGGTGCCGCCCCGGTTCTGCCACTGGTTCCTTTGGCAATCTGGGTTAGGGGCGAGCTCTTTGTTCGCTGCTCCTCCGAAAACACTTTGAGTAACTCCCTTTGAATAAAGTAGAAAATACAAACCGAGCCGCCAGGCCGCGACCTGGCCCCTGCTTCCTCTCGCGCGGTCCCTGCGGGTCACCCCGCCCCGGGAAAGCTGCGTGTTCGCCCGCAGCTCGCGCTCGGCCGAAGCTGCGTCGTCCAGTTGTGCTACCCCCGGGCACGCGGTGGGGATAACTCCCACGCCTCGCTCAAGGGCATTCCGGCAAGCCCTCCCTGGTCCCCATAGGCCCACTTGAGTGTTCCCTTTTCCGTGTTAACCTTGTATTTTAGATATAGTTGTGTTACAGTAATTACCTTAAGGCATTGTAGTTGTTTTACAATCGTTCTTTCCTCCTTTGGAAACCTAGAGTGTAAACCCCCTAAGTAAACGTCAGAAGTGATGAAGTCTTATTCCTTGGTTTAGGTTTCAGCGCCCTTCTCTACCCCACACTAACCCTTCAGTCTTTACACAACCCTTCCCTTGAATATACAGACCTAGCTGGTAACTTACTTTTCATACTCCAAAATCTTCTCTTTTAGTTGGGGAAAATAATGCATTGACTGCCCCCTCACCCCACCTCCAAATTGATGTTGAAATTCTGGCCTCCAGTAATGGAATTCTTTCCTTCAAAGTTATCTATTATTTTTGAAAGTAATCGCACATATATTTCTGTTGTGGCCCTTGCCATAGATCAGCGAAAAATATGACAGTCAAAATAGACCAAAACATTTGGCCTTGTAACCAGTGGGAAACACAGTTGAGAGGTCCCTACTTACCTGTCACTTCCTTCAGGAACCGTTGTTCCTTGATTCCTAAGACTAAGTGGAGGACCTTTTTTTCTATATACAACTATAGCTTGCTTTTTTACCTTTTATGCCTTTTTTTCTGCAGTCTCAATTTCCCTACTAAGGTCTTTAAATACAGAGCTTGATCTTCTTCCATTATTGTTTCTCCAGCACCTATAAGCATTCCTGTTAAATAGTAGACCTTTAATAAGTATTAATGATAAGCATGAATTATGTTATGTCTCAGCGTTTAGGCTAAATTCATATGAAAATAAAATTGAAAAAATAATTTTAAAGAACAGCATTAATTACTGAGATTATGTGGCAAATCCTTTAAAATATAATCTTGCACTGAAATAGATTTCGCCATTTACGAATCTATATGAATTTATAGTCATCTAAATGGGAATTGGGAAATTTAAGCATTTTCTGCTTTTTTAAAGTAAATTTTCTTCCTAATGTTTTTCTTAAAGCTGAAGTAAATTGCAAAACTTGCTTTAATAAAGTGTGTATTTTTGCAATTAAGACACTGACCTCTTTTTATGTTCTTTAAATTTGATTCATTAGTGGAATTAACAAGGTTCTGTGTTTTTGTCACCTCATTCAGTTTTATAATTAACCAATAAAAGCTTATTAGCTTTTAAGGAAGTTTTAGGAACTTAAATTGATTTATGGGCACCATATGGTTACATCAAAGGACTTGTTTTTGTTTTAACTGGAAGTGGATTCTTAAATCCTTTCTTTAAGATGGAAATTCATGTTTTTTTATACCAAGCAATAATTTCTGAAATTGAGTGATTTTTTTTTTTATTATTCCATGCTACCAGTTGGTCATGAGATTCAAATATTAGATACTAGGTTACAGATCTTAGAATCTTGTAATTCATCTGGTTTAATACCTCTCATTTTGTAGAAAGGTTAAATGTCTTCCCTAGGTCATACAGCTAGTCAGTGGTAGATATTCAAGACTCAAATCCTAGGCTTTCTATCCCAAGTCCATTGCTTATAAAGTTGTTTGCTATGTATTCTGACTTCGTTGATTCAAATAAGCTAAATAAATTTAAGCCATTAATAGTTTATAAAGTTATCCGCTGTATGTTGTTCTGACTTCATTGATTCATATAAGTAGACTAGTGTGACAACTAATTCTTAAAAAATTATGATGTTAGAAGACTTTTTTTGATAGGTAATATATATATTGATTGTATGAACAGGTTGACATCAATATAATTGTTATAAAAGATTTGAGTGGGAAATCACCAAATCCCACACCAAAAAATTTTTGAATTTTACTGTATTAAAAAAATAAAAAGCAAGATGAAATTATATATAGTTCTTGGTGTAGTATTTAAATTTTTATTTATTTTTATAGAAATGCGATCTTAACCATTTTGCCAGATTGTTCTCAAACTCCTGGCATCAAGTGATCCACTGCCTTGGCCTCCCAAAGTACTGGGATTATAGGCATGAGCTACCATGCCTGGCCGGTGTAGTATCTTTACATTTTACTTAGTGCTGAACCATTTTCAAGTAACTTCATCACAATGACTATGACCTCATGCAAGAACCATCTGTTCTATCCTTCAGCATAGTTGTACTTTACTATCTTAAAAGCTGTTACATTCTGTGCTTTTTTGGAATGTTTTATGCTTTTACAGTCTTAAACATTGCTTAATATCACTTCAGAGGAACAGCTTGTACAAAGAACATATGATAAGGAATGGAAAACAGTTGATGATTTAAACAGATTTGGGGTTAATCACATTCTTAAAATATGATGTTCTTTTTAATAAAATGTACATTTGACATAATTTTCCTCTTTCAGAATTAACCATGGTCAGTCATTCTTTAAACCAGGTTTGTTTCTGACAAAAGAAATGAAATAATAAAAACTAAGTTCTAACTGTAGTAATCTTATAATATTGAAGATACTATTTATGGGATTAATTAAAAGAAGCCCTCTTTATCTGCTAAGGGGTTTCCAATAATCGAATCACTGCTGGATTTTTTTTTTTTTTTAGATATGGCTGCCCCCAGTTAATAATATTATTTCATTAAAAGCTTTACAAAATGATCCTAATATACTTGAAATACTTAGAAGACTGCTGTTTATATAAGCAAGAATCAACCTTATTGCTGTTTCATTTTTTTTTTAACCATAACCCTCAGAAGGAATACAGTTGACATCACAGTCCTATATATAAATGTGTGTTTATATGTGGCATCATAAACATCACTGCACTAGGTGGCAATCTTCATTTACTATTTACTTATATATGTGTAGTCAACTTACAAAAGGAAACATTAGAGACAGGATAAGAATGTTGAACCTTACAACTGGGAGTTGCCAGAGAAAATATGTGCCCTGGCCAATTCCGCAGGACTACCCAGTCTGAAGGAAACCAGAAAATGTGACACTCTCTTCCTTCAAAACGCTATGCTGAAGTAGTATTTAATATTCAAGTACTTGTAAATTTTCAGAACAATACTTACTAATTTCACCCATGAATTCTATTTAAATTTGTCACTTAATACTTATCTAAGAAGCAAACCATCTAACAAGATTTCTGGTTTATTTCTCTAACTCCTAATAAATAGGGTCACTTTTTTTTAACTGTTTTCTAATTTGAAAAGTAATACAGGCATATGGTATTTTAAAAATGAGACAGCACAAAGGGATATGTTTTAAAAAGTGGTTTCTGGCCATCTCTGAACTGTAATCATCCCTAACATATAACCTATTTCATACCTGTTTTCATTTTAAAACTTGGATCAGTTTTTTTATCAGTACATATATTTCTGTCCTACTGATTTATTTGCCATATCATCTAATTTAGTTTGAACATTCCATAATTTAGTTTACTTAATTAGTCCTCTATTGATTGAGACCTGGCTTTTCTCAGGGTCTTACTATTATAAACAATGCTACTAAATATTGCTGATTATAAATCCATACATACCACTTAAAACTAAATCCATACATACCATGTAAAACATCTTAAGTTCCTGGAAGAGGTATTGCTAAACCAGAGGATAACCTGCATTTAAAATTTTGACTGCTAGGGTCAGGGTCACATTTAAATGAAATTAGAACAAAGGAATTGTATAATTTTCTTCAATAGCAATCTATTCCAGTATCCACCCCAAGTCACAAAGGAAAGCAAAACTATCAAGAACTTCCTTCACAAACTTTGAGTTTTATGTGTTCTGGTGGGTTAATAATTTGTCTCATTTCTTTTTATTATAATGCCTTTGAGAATGTATGTACCCTACTCTTTTCCAGAATTATCCAAAACTTTTCACAGTAACTGAATCTATGCCACAATAGTATATTCAACTTGTGGGGCTTCAGGATGTGAAATAGACAATATTAGTACTGGGCCACCATTACTACCAAATGCTTTCTTTACCTTTAAGTCCATGTATTTTTATCTGTAAAGTGACATCCATAGTTGTCATTGTACACTTCATGGAAATGAGTATACACAATAATATTCATGGTGGAGCTAAGTGCAGTGGCTTATGCCTGAAATCCCCGCACTTTGGGAGGCTGAGGCAGGCAGATCACTTGAAACTGGGAGGCAGAAGTTGCAGTGAGCCAAGATTGCATCACTGTACTCCAACCAGGGTGACAGAGCGAGACCCTGTCTCAAAAAATGATGATAATAATAATAATACTCATGGTGGCACTGACGACACTGTAAAATTAAGATTCAGAAAAGCAGGATAAGTCACAGCAACCCTTCCAGCATTTATTTTGTTTGCACCTATGTGCAATTAGAGAAAATTTACTTTTAGAACAGACTCTGCTTAAGGGACAGACAATACATTACTGTTTATTCAGAAGGCTTCTGCATAAAGGTGATATAGTCTTTCGACTTAGTGTATTCTTGTCCTACCTTGTGCCAATAATCTGGGTTGTATTTGTATAGTCAGTTTGCATTTTTATTGCACATGCTACATAATTTTTACCAAATATTAACAAATGGAAAGAAAACCAAATATAGATGTATAATAAGGAAAAGCAGGCCTATAGAAAATACCAAAGCAGATAACAGCAGCAGAGTTTAAACTAATTTTGTTTTTAAAATGTCATGTACATGGAAAAATATTTAACTTTAGTTTTCTTTCTTTGGGTAGTTAAAAGTTATAAGTGATTAAAAGTTTTTTTTTTCTTTTTCTACAATGAACATTATGTGACCTTGCAATTTAAAAAGCCAATGCCCTTTTAAGAAAGATATGTACATATTTCTCCAACTTCATTTTCTGTCTCTTGTTTCATCTCCCCTCACTTTTCTAAGTTTTCCTTCCTTAACCCCATTTTCTTTAGTTCATTTGTTTGCATGCTTCCTTGCTTTTGTTTTTTGTTTTTCCTGGTTATGATAGAGAATTAGTCTCATTCTCTAAGTTTGTAAATCAAGGATTGTCACGTAGGCAAAAATGATTTACAGCATTCTTGCATTTTCTACCCATCTTTGCATTTGTTAGCTCTTGTTTTTAGCTGGGAAAAAGGCAGTTACCATTTTAACGTTTCAAGTGTTCTTGATTCATTTTGAAAAGCTGACTAATGAAAGAAGGAGAACCCTCTATGAATTATCCTGAACTGGCTTATAATATATTGTTTGAATTCCTGTTAATGAGCTTCTGTTTCTTTAACAAAGTGTGTTTCACGTGACAACAGATAATCACCAGAATGGGAGTGAATGACTTGTGGCAAATTTTGGAGCCTGTTAAGCAACATATTCCCTTGCATAATCTTGGTGGGCAAATTCTTGCAGTTGATTTGAGTCTCTGGGTGTGTGAGGCACAGACAGTCAAAAAAATGATGGGCAGCGTCATGAAGCCCCACCTCAGGTACAGTAAAAGTTCTTAGAGTATAAATGTATGATGTATAAACAGTCTTGGTGTCTTGATTTTTGATTCACCTTTTTTCTTTTGTTGTTGTTATTCATTCACATTTTAAGATTTCAAGATCTATTTAACATGTCTAGATTCACTATCTTTATATTAAGGGCTCAGATTTGTACCTCTTACCCTTTGAGCTCCAGATTCACATATCTGTCTCCTGCTTAATATATCCATCTGAAAGATGCTTCAGATACTAAAAGCGAGAGGTTTGGGAGACATTTTCTCCCTATTTTACTTCTCCCACACCAATCCATCAAGTAAGTTTTGCTAGGTCTACCTCCAAAATATACTCTGTGATCACAAACTTATCTCAGTGTTGAGAGGTACCACCTCAGTCTATGCCAACCTCATCTCTCATCTATACTACTGAAGTGTCATCTTCACTAGTTTCTTGCTCTTGGCCTTCCACCCCAAACCATTTTCCACCTAGCAATTAGAATCATCATAAATCTCTATTGCTTAAAAATATTCAGTGTTTTTGGCTGGGCACAGTGGCTCACACATGTATTCCTCGTACTTTGGGAGGCCGAGATGGGCAAATTGTTTGAGCTCAGGAGTTCAAGATCAGCTTGGGCAACATGGTGAAACCTCATCTCTACAAAAAGTACAAAAAAATTAGTCAGGCATGGTGGCGCCTGCCTGTTGCCCTGCTACTTGAAGACTGAGGCAGGAAGATTGCTTCAGCCCAGGAGGTTGAGGCTGCACTGAGACAAGATCATGCCACTACACTACAGCCTCACTCTGTCAAAGAAAAAAAAAGTTCAGTGGTTTTCCACTCTAATTAAAACCTTAAGTAAAAGATTATTATATATAAAATTTTTGATACTAGTCTAATGTTATTGCCTTTATGTTATACTATTTTGACTTTTACTATCAATGTATGATGATTAATGTATTACTAATTTATATATTTCAGGAACTTATTTTTTCGTATCTCATATTTAACACAAATGGATGTAAAACTGGTGTTTGTTATGGAAGGGGAACCACCAAAGCTGAAAGCTGATGTCATAAGCAAGAGGAATCAGACACGGTATGGCTTTTCTGGAAAATCGTGGTCTCAGAAAACAGGAAGATCACATTTTAAATCAGTCTTAAGAGAGGTGAGTATTCAGATTTGTTTCAATTGTTCTTTTTTGAATTAAAGGGTACATTTTACTCTAATAGTTTGTCATCTTTCATACTCATTACTTTTATTGTGACTAGCAGGCCAGTGTGCATAGAGAAAAGTTTATTTTTTAGAGTGAAATTGATCTGAGTTTCAGTCCTGGTGCTGGCATGTAGAAACTCTTGAGACACTGAGCAAAATTTATAACCTATCTCTACCTTGTGTATTACCTTGTGAAAGGAGAACAGTAATACTTATGAAATGAGAACAGTAATACTCAGCAGGGGTGTGATAAAAATAAGAGAAAGTATATCTAAAGCAACTAGTAGATACAGGAAGTTGATCATACTACCTTTTATAACACTTTCAGGACTTAAAGAATTCCTAGAAGACGTGAGATCTCATTAATTCATACTTCACTCATTCAGAATTCATGATAGTTCATATATAAAATACATACTTGGCTTCCCTTAGGGCTTGTAGGCTTGTAATTTTAAAAATTAATTATTGTTAGATTATAATCTATGATTTATATGTTACTTTTAATATTGCTAGATTTTATATTTTTATAAAAGTTAAGAAAGAAATCACTTAAAATATTTAATTAAAACAATAGGAGGCTGTTTTTGTCTGTTTTCAAATGTGTGTATTTTTAAAGAGTTGTAGTAGTACACATGATTTTTAACCTGGGCTTTTCACTTAATGCTTCATACCCGTATCTTCCTGTTGTCACATTCTAATCAAAATCATTACTTTTAATGGTTGTACAACATGTATGAAGCTCTGAATCATACCCCTGATTGTGTATGTTATTACTTTTTTAGTTTTTCTCTACTATCCATAAAAGTATGATGAGAATTTTTTGTGTATATAATGTTTTCTTGTGATTTTAGCTTTTAGATAAAATTACCCAAAGTTGGATTGATGGGCCAAAGTTTTGGAATGATTTTATTGCCCTTGCTGATTAATTTCTGCCAATACAGATGTGAGATAAGCAGTTTTGGTGCACTCATAAGAACATTGAATGTTAGGAGGCTTGTCTTTGTAATATTTAGTATGCAACAGCAAAGGTATTTAATATGCATTTGTCTTTTAATAGTAACATTAAACATTTCACCTACTTTCATACCTCTTTGGGTAATGGGTATCATGTCCTACCTCTTGAGGTTTTAATTTTTCTTTGTGTAAGTTCTTTATTAACAGTATAACCTTTTTTCATATTTGCTTTGAATTAGTTTTTTTTTTTTTTAATTTTAGTTAAAAATTATGTAATTTTTCTCCTCTGGAAATTTTATTTTCTACTCTTATGTGATGTTTAAAAATAGTTTTCAATTAGTGAATATTCCACCTTAATGACTGTCAGCAGTTGAAGAAAATATCTGTGCTGAGTTCTAATTACTTCTTGTATAATCAGTTCCTGGAATTATTCATGGTCCTCAATCTTAGGGTGTTAAAGAACCAGCATAAAACAAATTAAAAAAAAGAGATGTCCATCTCTTCTTAAGAAAATTGCTCCATTCCTGTTTCTTTATTGCTACAGTAATTATGATATTCTTAGGCATTTTGTGTTAGTTTAGTTCACTGTTGCCTGTTAGTCATTTTTATCTTTCTGTACTCTTCAGTTACTAGGCCCTGCTTCCTCCTAATCCACTGCGATCTTTTAGGTATTAGCATGAGAAGCACAAATTAGTCCTTCTCCAATACCACCTCGACCCGACATGGTAGAGACATAAGGTAGGAAAAATTGAAACAGCCTCATAGGAAATTCTGTGCTGGTTCTTTGAAAAACTATGAAGTGGCAAATAGTACAAGAAATTGAAATAACTGTATTATGAAAGGCTACTTTTTACCTCGGTAAGGTTGAAGCAACACTTGTAACAAAACTGTCTCTAAAATCATGGGGTCAGTGTCTTGAACAGTATTATTTTTCAACATACTACTTTGACTTTTTGAACCTTGTCCATCTTTGGCAACATCTGACAGAGGCATTTATTATGTCTACTGTGGCCAAGAGATGGTATTTATTCTGTCAGTCTTTAGAAACTATAAGTAGTAGCCTTTTCTCTCCTCCATACTCAGTATTCCCTGATAAGAGGATACATGAAAAAAAGAACAGTGTGTGATAAGAAAGAGTGAACTAGGCTGTAAGGCTAAACTACAAGCTATCCAGCTGGGTTAAAATCATAAACCAAAGGAAACTCACAGCAGATTATTTGTGCATCAGTAAAGTGATGTAATCATTTTACAAGGCATTTGATTTTCTAGGAAGACACTGACAGCTGACCCCTCCACTGTTTCCCACAATATGAGAGTTTCATTGTACAGGGAAGGCAAGATGAGAAAAAGAGGCAAATTTTAAAATTCAAGCCAAAACTGTATGATAGTATCTTCTTTGGAAGTACATATATTGGAATGACCATCATGTGAGAAAAATTTTTGAAGTTTGGTAGATGTAAATCTTAATGTGATTAATTATTATTTAAAGTTATTTTCAGAATCTGATGATAATAGCATTGAACAAAACAATGAAATGTAAATATGGATTACTTTGTAATTGACATTAAAATCTTAATTTTTTATTACAGAAAAATTTAAATCAACAAAAGTAACCCATCACCAATCTTAAACCATTATCTTGGCTCATCTTGTTTCATCTATGCCCCTACCCACTTCCCGACTCACACATCATTTTGAAGCAAATCCCAAACATAATATTGTATCATTCTAGCATTTCAGTACTGTTTTCTAAAAGATGATTCTTAAAAAGAAGCATAACTAGAATATAATTTTTATTATCACACCTAAAATTTTGGCAGTCATTTCTTAAAGCCCTCAAGTATTCATTGTTCAAATTTCCAAGTGTTTCTTAAATACTATAATTTTTAAAACACCAAAATAGCTACTATTAATATTTGTAATACAGAAATACATTAAATAGTAAGGAAATTAGCAGTGAAAACATTCTTTAACATCTTGCACCTGCTTTTTGTTTTCAGTGCCTCGATATGCTTGAATGCCTAGGAATCCCCTGGGTTCAGGCTGCTGGGGAAGCTGAAGCCATGTGTGCTTACCTCAATGCTGTTGGTCGTGTAGATGGCTGCCTCACCAATGATGGGGATACTTTCCTTTACGGGGCCCAGACAGTATACAGGAATTTCACTATGAATACAAAGGTGTTTATTTTCTTTCTCTTGTTTAGCATTTGTTTACAAATTACCTTTTTTAAAAGGGCTGATTAAGTGAAATAATAGTTGTAAAATGCTTACTCTAATGCCTTGCACATAGCAATTGCTAAATGTTTACTGTTATTAAAAATCATTGCCACATAGTTTATTATCTTCAGTATGTGGATTTATCTCATAAGAACTTGACTTGTTTCATGTGGCTTGATTCTAAATCAGTTTCAAAAATACATCACAGAATTGCATATGAAATTGTATTGCTTTGACACTGAATTTCCAGTTTAGTATTTCATCCTCAGAAATACCTCCAGATATGCAGAGAGATATACAGAGATGTTCATTGTAGCATTGTTAATAATTACAAAAATTTGGCAAGCAATCCAAATGCTCATTGATAGGGACATGATTAAATACTATACACTTAATGATTCCCAGTTGGAGAGATACTGCCGGGATACATTTTGGTTGTAACAGTTCAGGCTTGGGCAGAGACTATATATATTTGGTGGCTTGGGGCCAACCAAACTAAATCTTCTGCCAGACATTTCTGTTATCCCTCCCAAAATGCTAATATTGGCATCCTCATTGAGAAGCACTATTTCACAGTCCATATGATGTAATGGAATGTGGTAATTGAAAAGGCTATTATTGACATAAAAGATATCCAGTCATATTAATGATGAAATGTCTCAATAGTATTTTTATATAATCCTATTTTTACTTAAAAATGTAATTAACAGTAAATACAAATACATATTTATCAAAGACAATAGTTTTTTGGAAGAAATTGTACCAAGGTATTAATGATAGTTAACTTTGGGCAGTGCAATTACAAGGAATGTTTACTTTCTATAATATATATTACAATATATTGTTTGGTAAGATGGAAATCTATATTTTTTAGATGCCAGAAAGCAATAAAATGGAAAAAACTGACTAGTATAGTTATTTTTAAGCCATTTTTGAAGCTACAACTTTATTTCCATATATCGAAATGTCACATTCTGTGAAGATTCTGCTGATCAGGATAATTTTCTTATGCAAATTTTTTGGAATAATTAAACTTTTTTGCTTTTGAGATGGAGTCTCACTCTGTTGCCCAGGCTGGAGTGTGGTGGCGTGATCTTGGCTCACTGCAACCTCCGCCTCCCTGCAACATCTGCCTCCTGAATTCAAACAATTCTCATGCCTCAGCCTCCCAAGTAGCTGGGACTACAAGCACGTGTCACCACACCTGGTTAATATTTTTGTATTTTTAGTAGAGATGGGGTTTTACCATGTTGGCTAGGCTGGTCTCAAATTCCTGACCTCAAGTGATCCAACTGCTTTGGCTTCTCAAGTGCTGGGATTATAGGCATGAGCCACCGCACCCAGGGATTATAGGCATGAGCCACCGCACCCATCCTGGAATAATTAAACATTTAAAGAGAACATTGACAAATTATTTTTGTAATGTTGTTTAATGTATAAATATGTACTTTTTGAAGATTAAATCTGTTCTTTGTTTAGGACCCACATGTTGACTGTTACAAAATGTCATCTATCAAGAGTAAACTAGGTTTGGATAGAGATGCTCTGGTTGGATTGGCAATACTTCTAGGCTGTGATTATCTCCCAAAGGTAAGCTGAAATTGGTACATTTACTTGCTATTCATAAAATCTTTTTCATACTTTATGTGCTATGTAAATATGAATATGATCGAGCTATATGATTAAGAATCAAATTTAAAATATAATGTCAGGTTGGCTGGGTGCGGTGGCTCACTCCTGTAATACCAGCACTTTGAGAGGCCAAGGCAGGTGGATCACCTGAGGTCAGGAGTTTGAGACCAGTCTGGCCAACATGGTGAAACCCTCCTCTGCTAAAAATAGAAAAATTAGCTGGGTGTGGTGGCAGGTGCCTGTAATCTCATCTACTCAGGAGGCTGAGGCACAGGGATTGCTTGAACCCAGGAGGCAGAGGTTGCAGTGAGTCGAAATCCTGTCATTGCATTCCAGCCTGGATGACAGGCGCTAAACTCCATCTCAAAAAAAAAAAATACATATATAATTTTAGGTATAATAAGCTATTCAGTGACTAAAGTAATCAGTATTCCAGATGGGATTAAAAAGTTGACTTGTGACACTGAATATTATAAGCAAGAATAGAATAATAAGTAGTTCCACAGCTTGATTCTCAGTAAACCATTAGAGATTCATATATTGTTTAACTATCTTTTTAAATGAATATAGGAGTTATTCTTTTGTTGTATCATGCCAGCGTACATTTCTTTCACTCTGTTTTCTATTTTTTAGTTTTCAATAATTTTTGTAGCTTTCCAGTTGTGCACATGCTCAGTGCTATTACTGTTGCTAAGTCACGTGATTATTGGGGTAAGCCTTTCATACTTCCATGCCTCAGCATTGTGCTGGGTTTTGTTCATGGAAATATTTTATTTATATCTTAAGATGTACAATCTAGTGCTGTGTAACAAAGAGGTATAACAGGTGAGTGATGAGTTAAGTATTATGAGAATAATCCCATTTTCTTAAATACAGTGTTTAAAAATATAAACTGACTGGTATTGTAGGTCTTACTATGTACTTGTTATGTTTCTATTGATTATTTCTATATCCTTACAGATCTCTCATTTTACCTCTATTCCCAAGAGAAGTATAAAGAAGAATGACGGGTTTTTTTTTTTTTTCCAATCTAAGCTCAGGAGAAAGGAAAATATAGCAGGATAGTAAAATTATTAAGCCTAATTTATAATTTATATTATCAAAAAAGTTTTTTTAAACTGGTAGGAAAAGAAAGCAGGAGGAAAGAAACTTTTAAATACCACAAACCATTATTTGTTGTAATTCTCCTTCTAAAATAGAAGACTATTTCCTAAATAAAATTATATCATAATTAAAATCTGTAAACAGCCCAGTATTTAAGAAAAAATTTGCTGACTTGAACTCACAGAAACCAACTTTAGCTACAGTGGTGTTTAAATTATGCATTAGCCATAGCTATATTGACCTTTTGTGTTTTTTTAAACAAAAATTGCTATTTACATTTTTCTACTTAAAGATTTTTAAGACTATGTACTAACTTGATTTGCCTTTAAAAACTTTAAGATATAGCTAATGCTAATACAAGAAGTATGGTAGTCGAGATATCTAATAACGTGTATGCCAAAGACATAGGCTGTAGAGATGGAAGAGACTTCTGTCTCTTCCTCAGTACGGTATACCTATTGTGCCATAGACTCTTTTTAGTAGCTGGATTCTGGGTATAGGTGGATTGGGAAGTGTTCAGGTTAGATGGGAGATTCCTGTGCAGGTAGACGCTCAGGATGCTTGGGCAGTAGCTATTTACTAACCAGTTAGCATGAGTGTGTCAGTCCTACTGCGTACTGGCTAAATAGCAGCTCTGCTTATAAGGACATATTCATACACTTACAGGGGCTAGAAAACTCAGTTTAAATCAGAAATTGTGATGGGAATATATATTTATGCATATCATTTTTGCATACTGGAAATTCACACTTTGAATTTTGTTAAGTATTTAATTGCAAGAGATAACTTAGAGCACTCCTTTGTTCTCTCTTTATGTCTGGGTTTTGGAATATTGAATGTTCACATATGTAATTAAATGAACTGGGTTTTTCCTGATTACAAACATAAAGTTAGGTTAAATTAAAATATCATCCAAATAATTAACATAGTAAGTGAAAGCCCTCTAAAATTATGACCCTCCCTTCCCTAAAATGAACACCGTCAGTGGTTTGGTATATAACCCTCTGAATTTTTTGTTTATGTAGATAACAGTGTAATTGTCATTTACTTTACAAATCCTGATCATATACACTATTGTGCAATTTTTGTTTTATGCATAGCAATGTATCATGCACATCTTTTCCTGTCTTAAAGATACCTCATTCTTTCTTTCAGCTGCAGAGTCTTCCTTTCAATTAATGTACATTTAACCATACCTGGTGATTGATTAACATTTGAATTATTTTTTTCCCACTTTTTGAAAGGGAGTCCCCGGAGTTGGAAAAGAGCAAGCATTAAAACTTATACAGATTTTGAAAGGACAAAGTTTACTTCAGAGGTAACTAATAATTACTTTTGCTTGTGACATTGAATTTTTATTCTTGTTGAACTTAATATGAATAGTATAAAAAAGAATTGTTTTCCAAAAAGGGTTTTGTATTTTTAAACTGAGCTATATTTTGATTTAAGATAATTTATTTTTATTTATTCTGAAATTTTCCAAAGAAGGAATGAGAATACGTGGTCTAAGCCATACTGCATTTTTTTCTTTTTTTGGAGACAAGGTCTCACTGTGTCACCCAGGCTGCAGTGCACTGGTGCGATTACTGCTCACTGCAACCTCAACCTGCCGGGCTGAAGCAATCCTCCCACCTCAGCCTCCTGAGGAGCTGGGACAACACATAGGCACCACTGTGCACAGCCACCATACTGCATTTTAAAAATATATATTATTCATATTAAACATGTTAATATATTAATTTTTATTTTTTATTTTTATTTTTGTAGAGATAGGGTCTTCCTATGTTGCCCAGGCTGGTCTCAATCTCCTGGGCTCAAGTGATTCCCCCTGCCTTGGCTTCCCAAAGTCTTAGGATTATAGGCATGAGCCACAGTGACCAGGCACCATAATGCATCTTTAAAAATCTATTATTAGCTCACTAAACACATTTAGTACAATGTCAAGTGCATTTATTTATAACCATGGGCATTTTACCACTGGTTATTTTAAACTGTTTTACTACCAGGTAAAGGTTAACATGAGATTAAAATAATTTTGTATTTTATACTTTGATATTCTATTTTTGTTCTATAAATGAAATGTCTGTGGCATGTAATTACTTGAAATCTTACTTGACTGGCCTTTGCTTTATAGCTACATATTTAATATTAACATTAATTCATTTATTATCTACAGTTTGAGGATTGAGAACAAGATGCAGATTATATAGAAGTTAACAACCTATGCTACTTACTATATCAAAAACACATGAATTATATTTACTGATGAAAGCAATGCTTTATAAAAATTAATATTAATGATGATTGGTACAGAATCAAAAGAAGGAACTAGGACACTGGGAAACTTAAAACAGTCTTAGCCTCCAGCAGTTTCAAGATGGCACGTGCCTGAAAAGAAATGCTAAGAGGTAAAAATGAAAAAGGAATGACCATGAAAAATACATCAAATCAGTCTACCCTTTCCTATAAGACTTCTCTTTTATCTATAAAACTATTGATAAATCTAAGACTTCAGTAAATCTATTACTGACATCAATTATTACTGTGCCAAAGCAAGAAAGAAAAGGTATACTTTGGGGGCCAGGCGTGGTGGCTCAAGCCTGTAATCCCAGCACTTTGGGAGGCCGAGGCGGGTGGATCACGAGGTCAAGAGATCGAGACCATCCTGGTCAACAAGGTGAAACCCCGTCTCTACTAAAAATACAAAAAATTAGCCGGGCATGGTGGCGCGTGCCTGTAATCCCAGCTACTCAGCAGGCTGAGGCAGGAGAATTGCCTGAACCCAGGAGGCAGAGGTTGCGGTGAGCCGAGATCATGCCATTGCACTCCAGCCTGGGTAACAAGAGCGAAACTCCGTCTCAAAAAAAAAAAAAAAGAAAAGAAAAGGTATACTTTGGCACGGGGGTGAGTTAAGGAATCATTTGAGAATTGTAAAAAATAATATAAAAAAGAAAAAGCACGTGAATATAACATGTGGCTAACTCAAAACCATTCTTATTGAAACAGTTTCAACAAGCACTGTTGACACTTGAAAATAATAAAATTATGTTTCTTTTATAAATTATCTATTATTCTATTTTATTAGACTGACTTCCCCCGCCCCGGTTATTTTTAATTTTTAGAGTGCGATTCTTTATCTGAAAGCAATTAATGCTAATTTTTAACAGGCTTGTATTTGGTCTTTGTAGTAAATGAGTTAGAAATTCCAGAAGCTAAATAGTAACCTTAAGAACCAGATACTATACAATGACTTGAGGAGATAATTTAGCTTTTCATAAAAACTTCAACTTTTGTAAGTAGAGGAACATAATTCAGAACTCATATGTTTTATGATTAATACCTAACCATACCCTTTGTGGTTTTATGTTAACCGGAACTTTAGCCAAAAATGAAATTAACTTTTATTTAATAGAAATCTTTATAGTAATATACATTTTTCTTAAAATCTTTTATGAAGCAGATAATGTTTTACCCTTGATCATTTTAGATGACTTAGCATTTTGACACGGTTTCACCCAGAACATTAATGTTTTGTTTAATTTTATATATTACTCTTTAACCCTTCTTTCTGATATAAAGAAATATCCAGGCAAGAGAATCGCTTGAACCTGGGAGGCAGAGGTTGCAGTGAACCAAGATCACGCCATTGCACTCCAGCCTGGGTGACAGAATGAGACTCCATCTCAACAAAAAAGAACAAAAAAGAAATATCTGTTTTGTACTCTGGCACACAGAGAAGAGATCAAAAGGAGACAGTTACAAGTCAGACTACTCACATATTGCTGCCTAACTTAAGATTCTTAAAAAGTTTGATTGGAGATATATATATATTAGAAAGAGGGATACAGATATATAGATACACACACACACGCACGCATACTCTCTCTCCTGTCTTGCAGTTCTGCTGTCCTTGGGCCTTGGGCCTTGGGCCTTGGGGCCACATTTAAAACTTGTGATTGAGGGTTTTCCCAAGCTAGTCCAGCAACTTTATCAACCACCAAAGGAAAAGTAATTAGGTAGGTGAAAGGGAATAGATTAGCCTAATATTTGAGAACATACTATTTTTGTGACCTCATTATTTTTTTCTTTTTAAAAACCATTTTCTGTTAAAGGTTTAATCGGTGGAATGAAACATCTTGTAACTCTAGTCCAGAACCGCTAGTCACTAAAAAACTGGCTCATTGTTCTATATGTTCTCATCCAGGTAAGGAGACATGGGGAATGGTTATTCGTATCTGATACCCATGTTTTAATTCTTGTTTACATAGTACTTTTTACATACCAATATTAATAGTACTTTGAAGGGTTTTACATTGTCTTCTGTACTAGATTGGCAATTTCTTGGAGTCAGGAGTTTTGTTACATACGCATAGTAGTCACTCAGTGTTTATTGAAGGCAGTAATGTGATGTAGATGACAAATGTAGGATAAGTACAGTTTCAAACTATGATGCCAAATTACTTAGATCTTAAAATTATGTTTTCAGTATAGAAATCAATTTTAAAAAGTATGTACTAAGTCTGAAGGGAAAATAGAACTGATACCATTTGTAAATATATTTATGATTTATATTTATATGCTTAAATGATTCTTCATTGTTCTGTAATGCATTTTAATTGTGTGTCAAGACAGTGACAAAACTAATTTCTAATACATGTTCACCATTACTGAAAATAGCTTAGATCTTCTTCATTAGTCTTGGTTTGAAAAAAAAAAGGTGAACATGTATTGGATGAGAAAGGCCTTTCATTCCCAAAAGAGATTAGGATATCATGTTAGCTCATCTTTCAGAAGAAATTCTGCTGTATCTATTTGTCTTAATATATTTTTATTATTGAAATACAGATTGGGCCGGGCGCGGTGGCTCACACCTGTAATCCCAGTTTTGGGAGGCCGAGGCGGGTCGATCACAAGGTCAAGAGATCGAGACCATCCTGGTCAACATGGTGAAACCCCGTCTCTACTAAAAATACAAAAAATTAGCTGGGCATGGTGACGCGTGCCTGTAATCCCAGCTACTCAGGAGGCTGAGGCAGGAGAATGGCCTGAACCCAGGAGGCGGAGGTTGCGGTGACCCGAGATCACTCCAGGCACTCCAGCCTGGGTAATATGAGCGAAACTCCGTCTCAAAAAAAAATAAATAAATAAAAAATAAAATGTAGATTAAAATCACGGAAGAAAATGTTTTTTATAAATAAGATGCTATTATATAGTTTTTTGATAGCTTATAAATGACAAGTTGAGGTCAAAGCAAGTATATATGTTCTTCCATATTCTCAAGACAATGTTGAAAGTAATCACACTTTCCTTTTAAAGGGAATTAAATTTCTGTACCCGTGCCGTAATAATCATTTGTTCATGTTCCAAGGATAGTTTAAAAATAACTAACTGAGAGCTAGACACTAGCAGAGGTAATTAACTACTCTATTCTTTTGATTCGACTCATTAAAGAAACTATTCTATTAAAGCTGTTCTACTAAGTAATTTTTTTTTGCCGATAATTACATTCTACTATTTTGCATGTAGCTTCCACTTAAACCAGAAAGTTTTCTGTTGCTGATTATTGTAAATGTACAATTTCAAGTGTCTAATTAACACTTTCAGATAGAAGAATAATTTTTGTTTTTCGGGGTTTTTTTTGTTTTGAGATACAGTTTCGCTCTTGTTACCCAGGCTGGAGTGCAATAGCGTGATCTCGGCTCACCACAACCTCCACCTCCTGGGTTCAGGCAATTCTCCTGCCTCAGCCTCCGGAGTAGCTGGGACTACAGGCGCACACCACCATGCCCAGCTAATTTTTGTATTTCTCTACTAAAAATACAGAAGAATAATTTTTGAATAATTTTTTCTAAAGTGTCATGTGATAGTAATAGCTCAAGATCTGCTTGAGCCCAAGAATTACTATGGTGTCTGTTACTCTATTCAACCTAAAAGTATTGAAACCCTTCTATCTGCTAGGTAGTGCACTAGGCAATATTAGTTTTTGAAAATTTGGATACAGGCAAAAAGAATGTATGTAGAAAGTAATTCTAAAAAGCAAAACATATTCTTTTTGTTTTTTGGGTCTCCATAAAGGTTCACCTAAAGATCACGAACGTAATGGTTGTAGATTATGTAAAAGTAATAAATATTGTGAGCCACATGATTATGAATACTGCTGCCCTTGTGAGTGGCACCGTACAGAACATGATAGGCAACTCAGCGAAGTAGAGAACAATATTAAAAAGTAAGTTTTTAAAAAAAACCTATGCTTTTTCCTGGTATGACCCATGCACATTTCTTAAGTTGAATTATTTCCACATAATCTTTCTCCACGTGTCTAGATTAGTCACATGTTTAACAAAAGTTTTTTCTGATTTCTTTTGAAAAATTTAGCTAACTCAGGAGATAGTAATGTAATAGTTATTCAAAGAGAAGCTTGACTGTTTGAGATACTATACATTCACATTTATTAAATGGGAGGAGATTGGCTGAGATAATTTCACAGTCCAAAATTGTCTGATTATAGTAATAATACGTATATAATTTTTTTTTTTTCAGGAAAGCCTGCGGTTGTGAGGGATTTCCCTTCCATGAGGTAATATCCAGTAATTCAACTATATTTTAGAAACTTTCTTAAAAGTTGAGGTCTCGATTCTCATTTTCTTTTTTCTTGCTAGGTTATTCAAGAATTCCTTTTAAACAAGGATAAATTGGTGAAGGTTATCAGGTACCAAAGACCTGATTTGTTATTGTTTCAGGTATCTGAAAATAAATTATTGCTTTACCATATGAAGTTATATGCTGGAAAGACAGGAACAGATATTCACTGTGATTGGTCTGAAGGAGGTTTAAAAGTAAAACAGGCAGCTCTTACATTTTTTCAGCATTTATTTCTAATCTCTCATTGCCCATAAAGTGGCCATACTTGGCACACTGTAAGATGAAGTACAGTTATGCTATTTGAGAGGATGCCTTAATTAGCATATATGGATATATTACATCCAGGGTTATTTTGGGGGAAGAGGGTCTAATAACCAGAGAATGTCAAGATCAAGTATGTTATTCTTTTCCCAAAATTGAGATCTGAAATGAATGACCTAAATTTAAATTTGAACCATATTCTGTTTACTGTGTAACCCTAGATATGTATTATTCTCAAAATAGAAATAATATTCTTATCTCTTGAAGTCACCATGAGAGTTAAATGAGATTATTTATAATAACTCCTAATAGAGTGGCTAGGGACACAGATGGGCTCAATAAATTATAACTGCTGGGTACTTAACAAGTATTAATAATGACAGCCACATTGATAATGGCAGCCAACAGTTATTAGACATTTAAATTTGCTGTTTAACACATTACATGTAATCTCAATCTTTATAATCTGTGAGCTGGGTTTATAATATTTTCACATTATAGATGGTAAAACTGAGGCTGAGAGGTTAAGTAAGTTACCCAGCATCTAAGAAATACCATCCTGGCATTCAAATCGAGAGTCCTCACTCTTAATCATTATGCAATAATGATTCTTTCTTAATAATGATTCTTTTTTAGGAGGCTCATTCTTTTTTCTCAGAATATTCTCATCGATGCTACTTTAATTAATGTTAATTCTAAAGGAAAATTATTAATATCACCTGCTAGTGCTATATTTCTCCAAGAGATAACAAAATATTGTTTTATTTTTATTATATTTACAGAGATTTACTCTTGAAAAAATGGAGTGGCCCAATCATTATGCATGTGAGAAGTTGCTGGTACTTTTGACCCGTTATGACATGATAGAAAGAAAGCTTGGTAGAAGGCACTCTAATCAACTACAGCCAATTCGGTAATGTAAAGAGCTGAATGGTGAAGACTGTGTTTTCACTTGAATCTCTTATAATTAAAATATTTTTAATACCTTTAAGCTCGTTTTTGTAAAGGTGGAGGAAAGGCCTCTTGGAATATTAAAAACTTATTCAGGACTTACAGTCTGGACAACATAGTAAGTCATGCTTGATCATACTTTTCTACTTCAAATGCATAGTAATAATAGATTATAAAGAGAAACAAACATGAAAGGATATAGCTAGGCTTTATAAAACAGCTATTTCAATGGACCAGGAAAGGAACAAAAATGTAAAGGGAATGTGGGAACTAAAACTGGTTTGGCAGAGCCTTAAGCCTAGAAGCAGCAGTATCAGCCAGGAGGTAAATCTCTGCAATGTAAAAAATAAAACAGGGACCAAAAGTGCAAGATGTTGATGGAGTCAGGCTTATTTCTTGAAACCCAGTGGCTAGGGTGTAATTTCTCTGTTTCTATTAGGAGATTAGAGGGTGCGGTAGACAATAAAAAACTAACCAAATGCTGCCTGAAGGCCAGAAAGCCTACTGGAAATTACTCAAAAAAGATTAGAGAGATAGAAGTGAAGACAGATAAAATGTAAAAGAACTGAAGAAGAAAATTTAACATATGAAGAAATGTAATATTTTAAAAATCAACAGTTGGATCATGAATTCACTTCAGATTAAATTAAAAGTTTTAAAGCTGTCTGACAAAGGTTTTGTTACAGGGCTTGGGGGTAGTTAGCCTTTCAGAATGCTAGAGTCCTCAGAAAGATGAAGACATATTTTTATAAGCAACAGAAGACAAAATTACAAAAGTGTGTGTAAATAGATGGATATTAAAAGTGAACAATTAGCTTAAAAATAGTTGCTGAAATAAAAAACAATAAAGGGGACTCTAGGCTGAACTTGGTCAAAAAGAATTAGTGATTTGGAAGACAGCACTAATCAAATCACACAGAAATAATCTCAAAGACTCTCATATGAAAAATGCTTAAGAGTAGTTTTTAATTAATTCCTAGAAGCTAATAAAAGAAAAGGTTTTCAATTTTTGAAGAAATCATCTCTGAGAGTTTTCCAAAATTTAAGACAGATAAAGTTATACTCCAAATTAAAGCACAATAGATAAAATACCCAAGGCATATTGCAGACATCAAGGATAAAAGGAATATGTTAAAAAGTACCAAACCAATCAGGCAGCAATCATCAATGGATGTTAAAACCATTAGATGAAAGATTGCTGGAGAGAAAGGATAGATACAATCTCAAATACCACTCTACAGATTAATTACAAAGGAAAAAAGATATCTTCATAAATGGAGACATCCAGTGGACATCAGTTTAACCAAATGATTCATTACCAATAAAAGGACAATATACTGATATCATGTGCTTTCTAATATGTTAAACTGAGAAAGATACCACATTATCATATAATATTTTTGCCGAAAAAGTTCGATCTAGGCAGGGCATGGTGGCTCACACCTGTAATCCCAGCACTTTGGGAGGCTGAGGCCGGTGGATTGACTGAGCTCAGGAGTTCAAGACCCAACTCTTCCAAAAATACAAAAAATTAGCCAGGCGTGGTGGAGAGCACCTGTGATCCCAGCTACTTGGAAGGCTGAGTTGGGAGGATTGCTTGAGCCTGGGAGGTGGAGGTTACAATGAGCTGAGATTGCACCACTGCACTCCAACCTGGGTGAGAGAGTGAGACCATGTCTCAAAAAAAAAAAAAAATGTAATCTGAATCTAATTATGAGGAAACAATCTAATGAATCCAAGTGAGGAACATTCTGTGGAGCTATTATTCTGGACTCTTCAAAACTAAAACAAAAAAATAGAGAGTTTCTGGATTAAAATAAAAGAGACAGCACAATTTGAGAAAAATGTTATGATCCTGACTGAATTCTGAATTGTTTTTAAGTCTTAAAGGACCTTTTTTTTTAGGACAATTGGGGAAATTTGAATATGGTCTGTATATTGTATCAGTGTTAAACTTTCAGAGTGTGATTGTTGTTTGTGGCAATGTAGGAAAATACTCTACATAGATAGGCTGTAGTATTTAGGGGTGATGTGCCATGAGACATGTTTGCAACTAACTTGCAAATAGAGAAAGCAAATGTGGTAAAATGTTAACAATTGAATCTCAGTACAAGTATGTGAGTATCCATTGTACTATTTTTATAACTTTTATGAAAGTTTGACATTTTTCAGAATAAAATTTGTTCGGAAATAGCGAAGAAAAAAGGTAAACCATCTGGTAGCACACATCTTTGATAACAGTAATAAGATGCCAGAAGATGCAGGAGTGACGTTTCAAAGTACCAAGTAAAAATAATTTACAACCTTGAAATCATTAAAACATTATTCATAGGAAAAGCATTTTTAAGCATATGAAGACTAAGAGAGTTTACCACTCATAAACCTTCCTTAAAAGTGCTGTTAAAGAGCTGGGATGGTGGCTCACCCCTGTAATCCCATCACTTTGGGAGGCCAAGACAGGTGGATCACGTGAGACCAGGGATTCTAGACCAGTCTGGCCAAGATAGCAAACCCCCCCCCCGCCCACTACAAATATAAAACATTAGCTGGGCATCGTAATCCCATCTACCTGGGAGGCTGAGGCACAAGAATCTCTTGAACTCAAGAGGCAGAGGTTACAGTGAGCTGAGATGGCACCACTGCACTCCAGCCTGGGCAAATAGAGCAAGACTCAAAACAGAACAAACAAAACATAATGATTGTTTTTAAGTGTTGTTAAAGGATATACTTTAACAACAAAAAAATGAACACAAAGGGAAGATGTAAATTACAAGAAACAGTGGTCAGCTCAGGAATTGATTGAAATATATTTGGATAATTTAATAAACTGACTAGAAAAAAAATGTATATAAATATTTGTATAATGTTTAATGATTAATACATGATGCTGATGATGATAAGCCAAAAATTCCAAAGGATGCATTCAAACACTTAAGAGTACCTGCTAGAAATAAAATACCTTTCAAACCAGCACAATTAAAATAAGAAAGTCAAACTATCGAACTAAAAGCATACTGGAAGAAGGAAAGTGGAAGTAGCAAAGAAAAAGCTCGTGACAGGAAACACAAAATAAGATGCATGAATGAATCCAGCAGTTATATCAGTAATCACAAATAATGTAAGCAGATTAACCTCACCTATTTAAAGACAGATTATATTGGATAAGTAAATAAAATTCAGCAATATTCAGCTTATAAGGTACATGTAGAATAATACAGAGCTTGAAAATAAAGAGATTTAAGAAGGCTTAGTAGGCAAATATTGTACTTATCAAAGTAATATAACAAACTTTAAAACAAAAATCATTATTGTGGAGATGAGGAACATTGACTAATAAGGGAAGGAACAACCTACCTAGAAGATCTAACAATAATAAACTCTATGTACCTAACAATATTATCTTTTAAATATCTAGTCAAAGGAATAACTAGGCAGTAATTCCTTAAAATATTTTTAACTGGAAAAAAAAATCTATGGAAATTATTCAGTTTACAAATTGAAAATTTTCAAATAACTTATGCAATTAATACTTCATTAAGTGAATTTGTTTTTCAGAATTGTTAAGACCCGAATCAGAAATGGAGTTCATTGTTTTGAAATAGAATGGGAAAAACCTGGTATGTATTCACTTTAAGCAAAATGCTCAATTTATAACATTTGACCATGTATGTCTAGTAAATATTGTATATGTATTCAACATGTGTGTGAAAAATAAAGATGAAACCTATTACATGCACCACAGATTGATTTCATAGTTTGCCTGTGTTATTTTAGATAGGTTCTAATAGTAAATATGATAAACTTTGATTTTATTGTAATGTTTTAATTTCACATTTCTTTTGTAATATTAAAGGAAGTACTACTGAAATAGTTTGTTGATATTTCTCAAATAAATGCTTTTACAAATAATCTGGTCATTCAATTTCATGTATATTACATCTGAAAAAGTTAAGATTGGTAAAATAGCCTCTGGGGTACACTTCCTTTCCTTTTATTACCCTGCTTAGTTTTCACTGGGAATTTTTTATTGTCAGATTATTCTTATTTTTGCTATAGACAGAAATACAGTGAACTCTGAATTAACTCCCAAACTGGAGATAGTGAAACACAGATACTTTAAAATGAAAAATGACACCAAGTTGATTTCTGTTTAGCTTTGAAATTAGATTGTATGATCATATTTGAGAGAATAGATTTGTCCAGTGAAAGTTTAAGCTGTAGGTAACGTTAAAAGAATGAAATTATAAACAATTAGATAAACCATTCCAAGCAATTAGGGGAAAATAGAATGCTGAATAATTTTCAAAAGTATTTAGGAACAGTTACACCAACTAGTATATTTTCAGGAAAGAACATGATATTAATTCAGTTTGGCAATGCATCTGTCCTGTCAAGAACTGAGGATCAGATACCCCATTTTCACTGATCCTTGTGGGAGCTATTATGGGAGAAAATGTACCTCAAGCTAGTTTAAGATCACTTACTTTGTTTCTTCTTTAAACTTATCAGTATTTCTTTATAATTTGGCTTATTTTGTGGTTTTGCCCACATCTAAAATAAACATAAGAATCTAGTGTATTGTTTATATATACACTGTATTATAAATTTACATATGAACATTTTTATTTTCATTTATTAATTGCTTGTAAGTCCAGTTAGATTGGGCTTGAGACAGTGATACCCTCTGAAACAACAATCTGGAAAGTAGTAATACTTGTTTTTTTGTTTTTTTTTGAGACGGAGTCTCGCTCTGTTGCCCAGGCTGGAGAGTGCACTGGTACCATCTCAACTCACTGCCACCTTTGCCTCCTGAGTTCAAGTGATTCTGCTGCCTCAGTCTCCCAAGTAGCTGGAATTGTAGGCACCTGCCACCACAGCTGGCTAATTTTTATATTTTTTGTAGAGATGGAGCTTCACCATGTTAGCCAGGCTGGTCTCGAACACCTGACCTTGGGTGTTCTACCCCCCTTGGCCTCCAAAAGTGCTGGGATTACAGGCGTGAGCCACTGCGCCCAGCCTGGAAAGTAGTAATACTTTTGATGACCCTTTCAATTTTGTTGGTTTCAGAAGTAAAGAAAGCTGATGTTGAGTTTTAGGAAATTATTTTATTCTTACCTGGAATTTTAACACTTATTTAACTGAATTAAACCAACCAACCTTTTCTAAGCAAAGTATTCTTTCAGCTGCTGCTACCATCTCTGGAATAAAGAGGATTTAAAATTCTAATTTAGAAAGAATCTCCTTCCAGCTCTTACCAGGCAAAACATGAATAAATAAATTTTGTACTGCTATCAATGGATTGTTAGAATATAGGTGTTATAAAGCAAGATTTGCAATGAATATTCCATTTGTGAATAACTTACTTTACTTGGTAAACGTAATTACATGGAAATACTGATTTTTTTTGAATGTGTAATTAAGGATGCTTTGCTGTATTTTTAATATTTTAGAACACTATGTGATGGAAGATAAACAACATGGAGAATTTGCCCTACTAACAACTGAAGAAGAAGCATTGTTTGAAGCAGCCTACCCTGAGATCGTTGCTATTTACCAAAAACAAAAATTAGAAATTAAAAGGAAGAAACAAAAACGTAAGTTTTGGGTTTGATAGCTATTTATGCCACATGCACATGTTATAGGAGTCACCTCTTCTGTTTGAATCTATTCTGTCTAAAGTATACTGAAGAATCTATAAAATCAAGAGTCAAGAACTGAATTCCTCCTTGTCTTCAGGTACTTTTCTTTTAAAGCTGAAAAGCCAGAAATAAATCATTCTGTTCTGTCTACTAAATTAGCCAAGTGTTAATAATGATAGTTATACTGACCAATTATTGAGCAACTACTGTGTATAGCATACTTGGGGTTTTAAATACATTTTCCTTTTTTCCCAGAACTCAGTGAGGAAAACAACTAAATTATAACATTGTTTTCAGAGGGAAATATTATATAATATTTATAGGAATACAGTGAGACAAAAAAAAGGCAAAAACTGTTCATATAGATTTTTCATCTGAACTGTTTTTTTTTACCCAAGTTAAAGCAAAATAAATGTTGGAAATATATATATATATATATATTTTTTTCTTTTCTTTTCAGGTATTAAGCCTAAAGAAAACAATTTGCCAGAACCAGATGATGTAATGAGCTTTCAGTCACACATGACTTTAAAACCCACAAGTGAAATCTTTCATAAGCAGAGTTCCAAGTTAAATTTGGGAATTTCACCTGAACTTAAATTAACACAGGAATCTATTTCTGCCTCATTGCATAGCTTGCTTTTACCTAAAAATGCTCCATATTCGAATGCACAAGAGCAATTCATGTCTTCTCCAAGACCTTTGGCTATACAGCAAATTAAGGCTGTCACTAAGTCTCTAATTTCAGAATCTAGTCAACCTGGGACCTCGTGTCATAATATATCCGTGATTACTGATCTCCACTTGAGCACCATTGACTGGGAAGGTACTTCTTTTAGTAATTCTCCAGTGATTCAAGGGAATACTTTCTCTCAAGGTTTAAAATCAGAAGTTGAATCAGAGCTATCAGCTATCTCTGATGGCTTTGAAAATATCCCAGAACAACTGCCATGTGAATCAGAAAGGTACGATGCAAATATAAATAAAGTATTGGAAAAGGATTCTGATACAATTAGTCCTGAAGAGCATCTGCTTTCTGGCATTACTGATTTATGTCTTCAGGATTTGCCTTTAAAGGAACGAATATTTATAAAATCATTATATCCTCAGGAAAATCTTCAACCAGATGTCAACCTAAAAACTTTGTCCAAACTTAGTGTGAAAGAATGTTGTATTGCTAACAGTGGTTCTGATTGTGCATCACATCTTTCAAAAGATCTTCCAGGAATTCCCTTGCAAAATGAATCTGGAGACTCTAAAGTTCTAAAAGAAGATGAGCTGCTTCAAGAAAACTATAAAGTCTATACTTCTGTACCTTATTCTGTCAATAACACAACAGAAAAGACCTGCAGTGTTAGAATTAGATCACCAAATGCTGCATTAGATCATAGTAGAAAAATTGGTGGGCAAACTACTCAGAAAATTTTAATGAAGAAGAGTGTTTGCCTTGACAGACATTCCTCTGATGAAGAAAGTACTCCAGTGTTTGGAAAAGCTAAGTACACAACTCAAAGAATGAAGCACAGTTCTCAAAAGCATAATTCATCCCAGTTCAAAGAAAGTGGCCACAACAAGTTGAGTAGCCGTAAAATACATATTAAAGAAACTGAACAGTGTGTCAAAGCTTATAAAACAGCTGAGAATGAAGAAAGCTGTTTCCCAGATTCAGCACAAAGTTCTCTGAGTTCTCTACAATGTCATAAAGAAAACAACTCTGGTACTTGTTTGGATAGTCCTCTTCCTTTACGCCAGAGATTAAAACTAAGATTCCAAAGTACTTGAAAGGAATTTAAAACACTTAAGTATAACTTATTATTTTAGTGCTATCAACAATAGCAGAGACAGAGGGAAGGCATCTGGTTAATGTATGGTAAAAATTTAGTGTGGTTCTATATGTCATGAAACAGTTGCCATTTTAATCAAAATTGTAATTTTTAAAATGTCACCTAAAACTGGTTTTAAAAGATCCTCTGGATTGAAAACTTCAGATAATGTATATTTTTAAAATATATTTTTGTCATCCTTCTATCCTTACTATTCCTTAATTGTAGTTTTAAAATACTAGTATAGTACTTGACAGAGTAAATGCTTCATCTGTTTGCTTGGTTTTACTTTTTCTTCCACAATCCTCTAAAGTATTTATTTAAATTCCAGCTTGTTCCCAAGAGGACAATTCTTTATAATTCTCTGCATTCTTTCAAGGCCTTGCAAGGTCTTCCGGTGTAACTCTCTTTCCTAAGAGTTAAATTCTCCCTCAATGTGAGGATACCTTTATAGTGTGCTCTTCTACCTTGAAGGCCTCGCAAGGTTCTCTTTCCTAAGAGTTAGATTTTAACTCTCCTTCCTAAGAATTAGATTCTCCTTCATTGTGAGGATACCTTTGGTGTGCTTTTCCACTTTTGGAGTCTTAATCTCCTTTTTGAGGGACAAAAATAGAAAAGGAGAGAAGATGTCAACATATTTAGTAAAAATCATGCTTGTAATGGCTGAATAAACTGAGCAAAGTAACTTCTTATGTATCCCCAGAAGTTCACAGGTATATAAACTGGAGAAAGATTTGGAAAATCAAATGTATAACCAAAAAGATTAGAAAGTAGCCCAGGATTACGTAGCTAACTAATCCTGTGGGAATTAGTTTTCTTGCCTACTTTTTTTTTTGAGACGGAGTTTCACTCTTGTTACCCATGTTGGAGTGCAATGGCATGATCTCAGCTCACTGCAACCTCTGCCTCCTGGGTTCAGGCCATTCTCCTGCCTCAGCCTCCTGAGTAGCTGGGACTTGCCTGCTATTTCTTTTTTAATCTTTTTGTTTTTTCCTTCTATAGCACTCTTCCCCCTTTTATTTTGAATCTATGCAGTATTGACTTTGATGCCACCAAATATTAAATCTTGCATTAATTTAGGTAGAACTGAAAAATTCTAGAGAGGCATCCAGATTTAAAAGGAAAATTGTCTCTGCAGATGACAAGATTGTATGTATCAAAAATCCTAAGGAATCCACTGGAAAACTATTAAAACTGATAAAGTGAGTTCAGCAAGGTTGCAGAATACAAGACCAATGTGCAGTGATCCTTGGTTTTGTTTGTTGTTTGTGTTTGTTTGTTTTGAGACAGAGTCTTGCTCTGTGGTCCAGACTGGGATGTAGTAGCCCCACCTTGGCTCATGGGAACCTCCACCTCCCAGGTTCACATGATTCTTGTGTCTCAGCCACCTGAGTAGCTGGGATTAACAGGCATGTGTTACCATGCCCAGCTAATTTTTGTATTTTTAATAGAGATGGGATTTTGCCATGTTGGCCAGGCTAGTCATGAACTTCTGGCCTCAAGTGATCCACCCACCTCAGCCTCCCAGAGTGCTGGGATTACAAGTGTGAGCCACCATACCTGGCCTCAATTGTATTTCTGTACACCTCTAAATAAATGGAAATACATTCCATGTTCATGAATCAGAAGACAAGATGACAGTACTCCCCAAACTGATCTACAGGTTAAATGTAATTCCCATTAGTTCCAGCTGCTTTCTTCGCCGATTCTAAAATTCATATGGAAATTTCAGGAACACAGACTATTAAGAAGAATCTTGAAAAATTTTGACTCTCCTGATTTTAAGTGTACAAAACTACAGTAATGAAGAATGTGTTGTGCTGGTATAAAGGTAGATCTATAGGTCAATACAGATTAATGGCATAGAATTGAGAGTTTAGAAATAAGCCCTCACATTTCTGATCAATTGATTTTAAACCAGACTGCCAAGACAATTCAATAGGAAAACAAAACAGTCTTTGAACCAACTGTCTTTTGGATTTATTGGATTATCTACATCAAAAAGAATGACATTTGATTCCTACTTCACATCATATTTAAAAATAAAATGGATCAAATACCTAAATGTAAGAGCTAAAGCTATAAAACTCTTAGAAGAAAACATAAATCTGTATAGACATCTTTGTGACTTTGAATTAGGCAAGGATTTCTTAAATATACCAAAAGCATAGGCAACAAAAGAAAATATACAAACTGGACTTAATCAAAACTAAAAACTTGCTTGAAATGACACGATCAAGAAATGAGAAGACAGCTTACAGAATGGGAGAAAATATTTGCCAATTATAAATGTGATAAGGGACTTGTATCTTAGAGGGACTTATATAAAGAACTCATAACAATTATGAAAAGACAACTTTAAAATGAGCAAAATAACAGGCATTTCTCCAAAGAAGAAATACACATGGCCAATAAGCACATTTAAAAATTCTCAGTACTATTAGTCATCAGGAAAAAGCAAATCAAAACCACAAGATACCACTTCACACCTAATACAATGTCTGCAATGATGAAGATGTGGAGAAAATTGGAATTCTTATAACATGCTGGTAGGAATATAAAATGGAGCAGCCACTTTGGAAAAAGTCTAGTATTTTTTCACATGGTTAAATGTAGAGTTATTGTATGATCCAGCAATTTCACTCCCAGGTATATACCCAAGGGAAATGAAAACACATCCACATAAAAACCTGCACAGACATTTCCATAGCCGCATTATTTATAATAGCCACAAAGTGGAAACAACCCCAATTTTAGAATGAGGAAGGGGAAAAACTAATGTATGTCATCTACTGTGTGCTAAGCATTTAACTAGGTTCTTTACAAACCTTATATCATCTCAACAACTCTGTAAGGACCGTATTGCAATGTTTTGGATATTCAGAGAGAAAGCATCCTTGCTGAAACATTCTTCCAGGATTCTTTTGATTTGTTCAGTCGTGGCTATGATAGTTTAGGACCATCTCATCCAGGTAAATTCTTAGAATATCTAGAGGCATTCTTGAGATTGTATGAGATGAAAAATAACAAAATTAGTTGGGAGTGGCCAGTCTGGGTTCATTTTGTTGTGTATCTCAGGGGTCCCTAACCCCTGGGCCATGGACAGGTACCAGTCCATGACCTGTTAGGAACCGGGCTGCACAGCAGGTGGTGAGTGGCATGCAAGCAAGAATTACCACCTGAGCTCCACCTCCTGTCAGATCAGCAGTGGCATTAGATTCCCATAGGAGCATGAACCCTATTATGAACTACACATGCAAAGGTTTAGTTTGTAAGCTCCTGCTGAGAATCTAATACCTGATGATCTGAGGTCAAACAGTTTCATCCCACAGCTATCTCCCCTGCATGGTCTGTGGAAAAATTGTCTTCCACAAAACTAGTCCTTGGTGCCAAAAAGGTTGGGGACCACTGATACAGCTAATACAGGCATAAGTGTAAAATTATACTTTTTCCTCCTCAAGGATTTCTCTATTTTCATTGTCCAGTTTATACCGGTCGTTAAAGCATTCCATGTTCTTGTTCTTTGATTTGGTCATGTTATCACTTGTATATCAAATCTTATCATAAGTTGCTGCTTACGTATTTGCTCATCACTTCATTGTCTTGTTGAGGATGCCTTACTTCCCTTTCAAATACTCTGCCAAAGATCTGCCTCCAGCTACGAGGATCCTGCAATTGGTTTCTTTCTGGTGACTCCGTACTAAAGCCCTGCTCTGGCCTAACTACTTTGGGCTTTGTGTAATCAATCTTAAGTCCTTGGTGGTTTTTGTTTTAGAGTTTTCTTTGTTTTTTTTTTTTTTTTTTTTCATATAAAATCTCCATCTGGCTGGGTGTGGTGGCTCATGTCTGTAATCTCAGCACTTTGGGAGGCCACGGTGGGTGGATTGCTTGAGGCCAGGAGTTCAAGACCAGCCTGGCCAACATGGCAAACCCCGTCTCTACTAAAAATATGAAAATTAGCAGGGCCTGGTGTTGTGCACCTGTAATGCCAGCTACCCAGGAGGCTGAGGCAGGAGAATTGCTTGAACCAAGGGGGCAGAGGTTGCAGTGAGCTGAGATGGTGCCACTGCACTCCAGCCTGGGTGAAAGAGTGAGACTGTCTCAAAAAAAGATTAAAATTTAAATTAAAACATAAAATATCCATCTAGATTTTATAATGAGGACTCTGCTTTTTCCTTTTGAGTGGCATGGCTAGCTTCAAATTCTTTTCTGCTAACAGATATTCTCATTGACCTTGGAGACACTTTCTGACTTTTCTGAGACTCATTTATTCAGATGTTGATATGACAGGCATTGTGTTGGGCCCTGGAGATAATGGTGATCAATGGTATCTTATAAGGTTGTTTTGATCTTTGTGAAGTGGCTGCCACCATTGACACGTTGTAGGGAATCAGTAATTGGTAGCTGTGTCAGTTACTATCATTTGGAAAGTGCACTGTCAGATTTTGGATTCAAAGTGAATATAGCCAAGCACTACTTTTTTGGTGAAAATATGAACAGTAACACTAGTAGGGTGCAGTGTGAGGGTGGGAGATGTGCTTTCAGGAGAAGGAAACTCTAGCATCATCACACAAGGGATCCTAACAGATGTGGCATTTGAACTACTGGAAAAAATGTGCTTGCTTAAATATAATTTGGTAACTGATACTCATCTAATCACCCACCATATGTATTGAGCACCCACTTTGAGCAAGGTTCTTAGGCCTATGTATAACAGCCAGCGGGAAGCCCAGTGAGTTTAAAATTTTTCCAGGTCACCCAATTAGAAAAGATTAAAGCTGGAACTAGAACTCACATTTCCTAATTCATGAGTGAATACAGTTCTCTGTATTTGTTTCCTTACATCACTCACTTTTTGACTCAAATATCGCCTCAGAGAGTCCTAATCTTTTTATCTCCTGACACTATAAATGTTGGGTTTAGGTTTTTTTTTGTTGTTGTTGTCTGTTTCCCAAACTAGAATGCAAACTTGATGAAGGCAGGGACTAAGTCCTTTCTGTTCACAGAATTCTAGAACAGTGTTTGGCACAGTGATTACTAGGTGTATGAATAGCAATTCTCCACAACCCCCACCCACGGAGCCTGGACCAGCAGTGGCTGCACTTACCTTGCAGAATCTGGTCTTAGTACTTCAGCATGGCTCACAAAGCTGAGGCAGCCTGGCCCCAGCTTGTCTCCAGCTTCACGCATTCACAGTCATGACCCTCAGCTCTAGCCACCTAAGATCATTTGTTATTCCCTGCACAGATGTCTCTGCCTGAAATGCTTGCTTCTTCCTTATTGGCTAGATAAACCTCATCTGTCGAGCACCAGCTCACATGTCATAACTTTCTAATCCCAAACCGAATTAATTGCTCTATATGTGTTCCCAAAGAAATTGCCCATACCTTCATAATAGTATTTGTCATATTCATTTCACAAATATTAGCTGATAACTACATGTAGGAAGCACAATATTCCTTACTTAAAAATATCTCTATCTCTCCCTCAGATAAGACTAAGATCTCTTTGAACACAAAAATCAAATCTTATTTCTGTTTACTTCCCCCAGATTCCTGCCCAGGGTTTGACTCTTCTGCCTCACCAACTGTTATTTACCTATTGAGATTCAGTATAAATATGGCTTTCTTTAAGAAAGGCTTCTGTTGCGTCTCTGGATTGCTGCTAGTCCCCATAGACTTCTAAAATATTACCTGTCTATAGTTTTGTTTCCCACACCAGACTATGCGCATCCTCAGGGCAGAGAAACCTTATTGTACTTCTGAATCTATAGCACCCATCAGAAGGACTGGCAGAGAAAGTGTCCTGTGAGGCCGGGTGCAGTGGCTCATGCCTATAATCCCAGCATTTTGGGAGGCAGAGACGGCAGATTGCCTGAGGTCAGGAGTTCGAGACCAGCCTGGCTAACATGTTGAAACCCCGTCTGTACTAAAAATACAAAAATTAACTGGATGTGACAGTGGGCACCTGTAATTTCAGCTACTTGGGAGACTGACACAGGAGAATCACTTGAACCTGGGAGGTGGAGGTTGCAGTGAGCTGAAGACCGTGCCATTGCACCCCAGCCTGGGCAAGAAGTGTGAAACTCCATTTCAACCAAAAAAAAAAAATGTTCAGCGAATGGGTGCTGATTGATTGGTGGTGATTTCAGGGTCTTCATTCTAAATCATTCTAAATTTCTTTGTGGAGAGAGACCAAATCCAATTGGATGAATTAGCTTGATCCCTAGTTCCCTTTAGCCACTTTAAGATGCCCTGCCAAGATGCTTGCTTTCTGAAGGTGAAGAGTCTAAATCTTAAACTGCTGTTCCTGTTCTGCTGGTAGCACTTAGGGTAAAACAGCTTAAATAGTATTACTGAAGGCAGCCTCCTTTCATCTATAGATTAACGTGGCAATGTTTATCACCTTCTTAGCCAAGTAAAGCTTTTTTCAGGCTCAGCTAACAGCTTGCTTTAGCCTCTTTCAGGAACTTGCCATATTGCCTATAAACTGAAATGCTGCATATAGTCCCCGCAATAGTCCAAAACAGTGGGACTCTTTCTGATGATTGTCAGAATGGACAGTTTAGTTAGACCCAGTCCAGATAAATTTACTAAATTGCCTCTTTGGCAGTGGAGGGGGGAGTCATCAGCAAAGTAGGCTGACCCTTCCATGGGCAGAATGAATATTTTGCTAAGGTTTAGAAGAATTCCTTTTGTAAGCACCAAGTACCTTTAATAAGGATTAAGTGTCTGATCTTCCTCAACATTATTCTGTTCCACGAACCAAAAAGGAAAATAACCTCCCACAATGGGAAAAACAGCTCTTATATTTAGAATTATCTGATCAAGACCTAATGAAAACATTCTAGAGTGTGTGTGTCATCATAAGTTAAATCTTCATCTACCACCCAACTATAGATATATACCTGCTTTTCTGTGAGTGAAGTCAGTTCTTTCATAAATGCTTTCAAGCTGAAAGTGAGAAAGTGATTTATGAAACACCCAGGTGAAGGGAGACTAGTCCCCTTGCATTTTGGTTTTCAAGCAATACTGGTTTCAGTAACTGCTCTGATGTAATTATTGCTAACATTTACATTTTTATTAAACTGAAAATGCTAACTGAATGCCAGATGTCAGAAGGTTTATTTCACGGAGTTGTCCAAACACAGACATCTCTAGGTCAGTCACTGTGAAGGCCCCACAGCTTCACAGCTGGGATAGTTCTATGGGAGGTGTCAAAGGATGGTACAGCCAGGTCTACATCTTGTGAAACAAACCAATGGACATTTTCTTAAACCTGAGAGGCACTGGTCTGAGGAACTGTCTTGGTTCTGATAGAGACTGGCTACACTGGGCAAACCTCCCTGGCTTCACTTCCTTCTCTCTTCACTCTCAGTCACATTCAAGGACATATATCAATGTATATGAAACATCAGTATATAAACTTAGCATTACTGATGTCTTTAAAATGCATTCCATTATAATCTGTATAATTTTTTTGTGAAGGGAATTGTCTACATATGAAGAGAATAGAGACAGATCTCACTGGGCACCAATGAATATAAGTAAGTTTATACAGTTTCAAAAGTCAGTTATGCAAAGCGTTAGTAAATCTTGGGAAAAGACAAATGATGTATCTTAAATGTTTTTGTGGCACACATCTCATTCTTAAAATTTCTAATCTATGCCCCACAATAACTGAGAGGGCTGAGTGCGGTGGCTCACATCTGCCTAACATGTAGTATGCATTTAATACATACTTATTCAATCAATAAATAAAGTTAGTTTCAACCCAAATCCATCTAAAGACAAAGCCCACGCTTTGACCATGAACATGCTGCAATTTTTTTATTGGATTCTTAAGATGGATTCAGTCCTGGGACAGGCATACTGCCTTCGATAGGCATCCTGGAAATAACATCTGCTGCCTCCCTTCAAGATGTTTATAACTTAGTTGTGATGCCAGGCTCATTTTTTCTTGAGATAACAAATACAGTAAGTGCTGAGTGAAGGAAATTGCATTAGAGGGCACCAGAATGTAGAAGAGAGTGGTCAGTGAAGATCCAGGTGGTCCTCGTAGGGCCTCCTAGAGCTGAGAAACTTGATAGGACCCTTTATGGTGAATGCCAGTTAGGAGGAGGGCAAGACTGTCAGGTCTTGGATGAGACTTAAGAGAATCAGTGAGTTTATCCAGGAGTCTCATTAATGACATGTATTTTAGGGGATTCCAGAGGGGGACATTTGCTAGAATCTTTTTTCTGGGGGAAAAAACTCTTTACTTATAAGCATAGTTTTATGAGGAAACAACTCTGGCAGGAGAAGAGGAAAGGAGGAAAGAGAGGCAGTGAAGTTTCTTCTTTCTCACTGGCTGTGGTTGTGGTCAGGGCAAGATGGATCAAGACTGGCACACAGTGAGTGCCAAATGATTATTGGTCACTTCCTCTCGAAAGTCTCCTCTGTGGGATTTGCCTGGAAGTCCACACTGTCTCCAGAAATAAATCGCAAACCTTGGGACTTATAAGCAGAGGCTGCCTCTTCAGTGCCAGCAGTAGGGCAAAGCTGCTGTGCAGCATAATCTGCCTAAGTGATTGGACTGCACAGACCCTTGGCCGTTGGCAGAGACTGCACTATCCCAGAGTTCCTCAGAGGCACACAGCTGACCATCATGAGGACTGCTCCTATCATGGCCCCTAGTGAAGGATAGAGCAAAGAGATCCCTAAGAACTAAGTTGTCAGCCGGTGAAGATGACTTACTATGCTCAGAATTAACATTCATCCATTCACCCCCACGTCTCTCCATTCAGGAAGCAAGTACTCTATGCCAAGAATCATGCGAACTGTAGGAGCTATCATAAGGGCTAGTTTCCTGTCCTTGAGGAACTCATGGTCTATTGATAAAGAAAACCATATGCAGTTAGTTTCTTAATTCTACCCATGTTTCCAGGGCAGGGTTGATAAAAGATTTATCACATACTCAGGCTTGGCCACAAAACCACACCACACCAAACATGTTTACTCCATGAAGGGAAAGACTAATTAACCTTCCCACCCCCTACCCCTCTAGCCCTTCCCAGAAAGGTGATAATGAAAGATTTGGTCTCTACTGAGCCACAACAGGATTTGCATTTTAAAGTCTGACAGATCTTTAT